ATTGATAAACATTTGGGTTGTTTGTAGTTTGGGGCTATTATGAATAAAGTTGCTGTAAATATTTGTGAATTAGTCTTTGCACATATGTATGCTTCCATTTCTCTTGAGTGCACACTAGAAGTGGAATGGCTGCACCATAGGGTCGTTGTAAGTTTCCTTTACTGCCAGGCCTTTCCCATAGTGCTGGTGCCACTTTACATTTCCAGCAGCCGCACGTAAATTCTGGATGCGCCCCATCCTTGGTAATGTTTAGTGCTATCAGTCTGTTTAATTTTAGCCATTCTGGTGAATGTGTGTGTGGTATCTTTTTTATTTATTTATTTATCTTTAGAGGGAAGGGAAGGGAAGGAGAGAGAGAAATATCAACGTATGGTTGCCTCTCGTGCGTCCACTACTGGGAACTGGCCTGCAACCCAGGCATGTACCCTGACTGGGAGTCGAACCATGATCCTCTGGTTTGCAGGCCCACGCTCAATCCACTGAGCTACACCAGCCAGGGCCTTTGTGTGGTATCTTTTAAAGAAAAATTCAGGATTATTGAGGTATAATTGACATACAGTACATTTTACATGGTTTAGTGTACAGTTTGATAAGGTTCGACAGATGCATTTAATTGTGTAAGCTCCACCACAATCAAGATATACCTTACTTAACATTACCCCAAAACTCACCTCTTGTTTCTTATTTTTAAAAAAGATTGTTTTTATTTATTTTTAGAGGAAGGAGAAAAGAGAGAGAGAGGGAGAGAAACATCATTGTAAGAGAGAAATGTGATGTTTCCTCTTGTATGCGCCCCGACAGGGGCCGAACTTGAAACCCAGGCTTGTACCTGCCCGAGAATCAAACCTGTGGCCTTTCTCTTTGGTTTGTACAGCAGTGCCCAACTGAGCCACAAAGTTCAGGGCCCTCGGGTTCCCTTGTACTCGGTCCTTTTCTCTGTTCTAAGCCCTAGCAACTCTAGTCTGTTTTATCACTGACTTAAAAAAAATTGTGTGCCATGCAGTTTTCTCTTTTTTGCGGATGGGCCTGTGAGTTTTGATAAATGCATAATCACGGATCCCACCACAATCAAGACACAACACGTGCATCACTCCAAAAATCACCCTTTGAAATCACCCTTTCTCTACTTGCTGATCTGTTTATCTGTCCTGATAACCTTTGCGGGTCTGGCTTCTTCAGTTAGCAAAATACCTGTGAGATTTACCCAGGCCACATGTATCAATAGCAAACTAGCAGGTATCAATAGCACAGTTTATGCTGCGAACTAGTACTCCGTTGTTTTGGGTGAGCCACGGTATTCATTTACTAAATGAATGACATTTGGGTTGTCTCTACTTTGCCAGCTCTGAACAATGTGCTATAAACATTTCCATCCAGGTTTTTGTATGAACATAAGCTTTCGAGTCACATGGATAAATGCCTAGGAGTGGATTGCTGGGTCACATGGTAAGGGTATATTTAACTTGATAAGAATCTGCCAAACTGTGTTCCCGAGTCGTGATTCCATTTTGCACTCCCACCAGCAGTGTCTCTGAGAGTGTTCCTTTGTTCCACGTCCTTGTCAGTGTTTGGTATTTTCAGGTTTTTGTTTTGTTTTGTTTTATTTTTGGTAATTTGTGTGTGTGTGTTTTAGCCATTCTAGGAGGTATGTAGTGGCATCTCATGGTTTCTTTTTATGACACCTTCTTAAGTAATGGTGATCATCTTTTTATGTGCTTACTGTCTATATATTCTCCTTTGTAGGCTTGTCTTCATATTTTTTGACCATTTTTCTATTTGGTTGGTTGATTATTGAATCAGAATAATTTTTTGCCTCTTCTCGGACATTAGTTATTTGATATATGTGTACTGAATATTTTTCTCCCATTCTGTGGCTTGTCTTTTGATTTTTTAATGGTTTCTTTCAAAGAGCAGCTCTTAATTTTAATTAAGTCCAACATATTAACCATTATATGGTTGAGGTTTTTTGTGTAGGATCTAAGAAACCCTTGTCTCCTCCCAAGGTCACAAAGACCTTCTATGTATATATTTTAAAGCTTTGCTATTGTAGCTTTTATATTAGGTTTCTGATCCACTTTGAGTCACTTTATTTCCACATGGATAGCTAATTGTTCTACCAATGTTTGTTGAATGATTGTCCTCCTCCTGTGGCATTGCCTGGCGTCTTTGTTGAAAATCAATGGACAGCATATGTATGAGTCTGTTCCTGGGTGCTATTCTGTTCTGTGTCCACCAGCCGTATAGTGTCTTTGTTCATGGAGCTTTATTTCAACTCTTGAAATCAAGTAGTGCAAGTCTGTTCTTTGGGAAATAAATTTGGCTTTTTTATGTCTTTCATTTCTGTATGTCTAATAGAATCACCTTGTCATTTTTTAATAAAATATCCTGCTGGAATTTTGATTGGTTGGATTGTAGACTTTATTTCTTTCTGTGTCTGGGAAATACTTCATTGTATGGATAGACCACGTTTTTGTTTATCCATTCACCTATTATTGGACATATGGACTGTTTTTACTTTTTGGCTGTTGTGAATAGTGGTGCTATGTACATTCATGTATAAGTATATTGAGTATCTATTTTCAGTTCTTTTGGGTATATACCTACCAGTAGAAATTCTGAGTTGTATAGTAATTCTGTGTTTAACTTTTGAAGAACTACCAACTGTTTTTACACAGCCGTTCTACCATTTACGTTCCCAGCAGCATTGGGAGGGGTCCAGTCTCTCCACATTGTTGCCAAAACTCATTTTCTTCTCTTTTAATTCTATCCATCCTAGTGGGTGTGAAGTGGAATCTCACTGTGGTATTGAGTTACATTTCCCTAATGACAAATAACATTGAGCATCGTTTTATGTTCTGGTTGGCCATTTGTATACCTGCTTTGGGAGAAATGTCTGCCTATTTTTTAACTTTTTTTGTTGTTCAGTTGTAAGAGTTAGTTACACATCAGATACTAGACCTTTATCAGATATATATTTTGCAATATTTTCTACTGTTTTGTAGATTGTTGTTTTATTTTTTGATGACCTTTGATGCAAAATTTCAAATTTTTATGAAGTCCAATTTATCTTATTTTTTACAACCAACCACCAAATCCAAGAATTCATCTCCAAATCCAAGGCCATGAGAGTCATGAAGATAAACCTATTTTCTTAAAGTTTTATAGTTTTAGCTCTTATGCTGTTAATGCATTTTCAGTTATGTTTTGTATATGGTGTGAGGTAGGGGCCAGTTCCGTTCTTTAGCATGTGTCAATCCAGTTGTCCCGTCACCGTTTGTGGAAGGGGCTATTTTCCCATTGCTGCGTGGGCACTTAACTGAAAATCAGTTGGCCATAGATGTGTAAGTTTATCTCTGGGTTCTCAGTTCTCTTCCTTTGGTCCATGCCTTTAGTATCATGCAAGTTGATAGTTTTTACCTGTAGATGTGTTGGTATGGTGTATTAATTTTTCTGGTTTTGATTTAGAAATTTTTTAAAACTTTGGGTTCTTTAAAGAAATTAACTTCTCTAAATGCTAGATTTATAACTCACACATACAAACTTAGTGGATAGTTTTGTTTCAAACTTTCTGGTATGTTTCAGCATTTCTCTGGCCACATACAGAATGGTGATTTTTATATGCAGTATGTTAGGGTGCGTGCTCACTGAACTTTCACTGTGAGTTAAACTTTCCTTGACCTTTTACATGAAGAGCTGGTTATATAAATGCAACCTGTCAGAAGGTGTTGCTGTTGGTTGTACAAGTACAAGAGTAGGGCAGTCTGAGCATTGGCATCCGTCACTTCAGGAAGGAACCACATACCTAGTTTCCAGAGAAAGAGTGACTTATAAGTACTGTTTTTTTTTTTTTTTTTGCCCAAGTCATGGTTTTCAACTTTAATTGGTGCAATAAAATTTTCAGTACTTCCAAATCAGTATATGATATGCTTCTGAAGTCTCTAAATCTGTAACCCCTCTCTTTTGTTTTCCTTGTGGTAATTGATTTGCTGAAGAAACTGGGCTCTTTGTTCTGTTGTTTCACACAACTTGGCTTTTGCTGATTGAATCACTCTGGTTCAGTTTAATATGTTCCTCTGTGTTCTTTATTTTCTGTAAATTGGTAGTTGGATGTAGGGAGATCTAGATACTTGAGCAGATTCAGATAAAAACTTGTGTTTTTGGTTATAGTATGTTCCCTTCATTGGTAATATTTGTATTTTCCTTCAAGAGGCACATAGTACCTGCTTATCTCTTTTCATGATGTTAGCTAACTTTGTTTTGATTCATTTTAGTTTTGAAGTTGAAAAGGTTCTAAAGGGGCAAGATGGTGTAGAGATTAAGATACAAGCTTTACTGGGGAGGGGTGGACTGGGATGGGATTAAAAGACAGAAAACTATACTTGAACAATAATTAAATTAAAAAAAAAGATACAAGCTTCGAAGGCCAACGATCGGGTTCATATTCTGATTACTCACCTACTAGTTCTCGGGTCTTGGACAGTCACTCCCTCTCAGTGGTAAGTTTGCCGTGCGTGAGAAGGGAAAGAGGACGCCTGCTCATAGGGTCATTTTTGAGAAAGTGCTTGGGAAAGAGTCGCACAGAAGCCTAGCAGGTGGTTAGGTAGCCAGTGAGAGTTAGCTACTGCTGCTGTTTTGTGAATTTAAAAAATATTCTAAGACAATCTGAAAGGTAGATTGTCTCAATTTTTAAGTGAGGAAATTAAAGTTTAGATAGCTAATTTTTTGTTTCACTTGGGTTTGTTTTGGGAAAAAGTAAGTACGTTTTTCAGGTAAGGTAAATAGCTCTCTCTTGTTTTCATCAGTGCGGCAGTTGCACTTAGTAACCGCTCATCAGCTTAATTTTCAAAGTGATTTTGCCCATGCTTTATATAGTGTTTACATCGACCGTCCCCCACCTAGTGTGGAAAAGTGGGGCCCCTTGTTGAACAAGTCATACCATAGCACGTTTTATTCTTGAAGTCCACCGAGGAATAATGACTATTAATGTTTTTCTTTTACAGTGTAATGTTCAAGCTCAGAAATGCCTTATGTGGATCGTCAGAATCGCATTTGTGGTTTTCTAGACATTGAAGAAAATGAAAATAGTGGGAAATTTCTTCGAAGGTACTTCATACTGGATACCAGAGAAGATAGTTTTGTGTGGTACATGGATAATCCACAGGTTTGTAAAATCCAGAGGGTCACCTTTCTTCAACAGCATGCGCGGGTTTTAATTGTTAAAGCATTTGACGCGCTACTGCCGTTAGGGATCCTCTTCCCAGACGGCACGTCTTTAGGTTTGTTTCTCCTGGCGGTGCTCCCCCTGCCCTGCACCCCAGCTCCTAGTGTCTTACTTCAATTCCATCAGATGAAACTACATTTATTGATAAAAATTGATGCATCATATATGCTTTTCCTCCCTGGCAGACAATTTTTAAGTCATTTAGATTTAAGATGGCATCTCTAAGATAGAGACTACTATTTTTTTGGAAAGAAGCTGCTTAAACTAAACTGACACTCTTCCATGTATGTGGTCCTTTTTATTTTGTGAAACTTGGAGTCAGCCATTGTAATGCCATTCATGAGTTGAAATCCACTTTGTTTTGTTGCCTTGCAAATCACGAGGGGTAAATGTTGTAAACTCAAAATGAGAGTCTTAGTTTTAAGATCTGTGAGAGACCTTGGTTTAGAGATCACCTGTGGAGCAGTTTTGAATTCACCTGTGGCTTTATGCAGATTGAGATGGGTCTTGTGAGGACGCATGTGCACAAGCCAGGATGCGTCCTTAGGAGACTTCCAGGTCCATCGGTCTGGTGGGCTTCTTGTGCACGTGAGGCACCTAAAGGCCGGGAAGAGCAGGGACTGTTAGTAGGTTACGTTCCATTGCACAGCGTGGGAACTGGGTCCCCTGACAACTAGTCTAGTATTCTTTATTATCCTATACTGATTTTATTTTATTTTAGTTTTTAAAGATTATTTATTTATTTATTTTTAGACAGAGGGGAAGAGAGGGAGAAAGAGGAGAGAAACATCAGTGTGTGGTTGCCTCTTGTGTACCCCCAACTGGGGACCTGGTCTGCAACCCAGGCATGTGCCCTGATTGGTAATTGAACTGGCGACCCTTTGGTTCTCAGGCCAGCACTCAATCCGCTGAGCCACACCAGCCAGGGCCCTATACTGATTTTAGATTAGATAAAATATACATATGCTCAGGCATATGTATACATAAGCATACATATGTTGTATACTTTTTAGATTTTAAAAAGTGTATGTTTGAGACAGCTTTAATTTTATTTGTTCTGTGAGCCATCATCGAGTTCCGTGTGTCTACTACCCATTAATCCTACGTTTGCCCTTTGATTCTCTATAAAGTAAGTCTAGACCTTTATCCACATGCAGCTTTTCAAATTTTAGAGGATAATTTGTATTTTAAGTTGTTTATATTATTTGAATGCTGACTTTGTATGAAACTTTTTTTTTTTTTTTGTGCTAGGAATTCTCTTTTCTCTGTCCTTATTCTTGAGAGCTTACTGATAACCAGTTTTACCCCCTTATCTCTGGGTGTGACCAGCTTTCCTGGGTGGCAGTAACCTGGCTATGCAACTGCATGATTAATATCTTTATTTACTTGACCAGAGTCAGTGGGAGAAGGAACAGGTCAGCGGAAGTCAAAAGTTCATCTTTATCCCCCCTCCCCTTTTTTTAAAACGTAAATCAGATTTCTCCCTTTTTTAACTCCATCTTTATCTGTGGCACAAGCCCTTCCCAAACTCATTTCCCAAAGGGGGAAAGTGATTTAATACCCCTTGACTCCTTCTAATTACTATTTACTAGATTCCATATCTGTCCTCCTCCCCTGTGCAAGCCATTATACTGTTCTGCCTGTTAACTTACATATGGTTTCTCTTGAATTTTATTTAAAAACCCTTTATTGTTTTTCTATCTTTATATATAACAGGTTCTCCTCCTCAGAATTCCTTTGTTTATTAGTACTTTCCATGTAAACAGAGTTAAAAGATGCTAAGTACAAAATAGAATATGCTTATTACATGGAAGCAAACAAACTTCACATGCAGAGGAAGGGTGTGCTTATAGCTAGCAGGGGGGAGTTCAAGTCTTTGTGGAGGTGGTAACCCTTGAAATTGACCTACAGCTATGGATATAATTTTGGTCAAGAGGTGGAGAAGTGGGTATTCAGTGCTCAAAGAGCAGCATGGGCAAAGGAAGCCGGAGCCATATTTGGAGAGTTACTTCGCTTTGGCTGTAGCAGCGGGTATCTCCTCAAGTTTGTGCTCAGCTCAGTCTTTTCCGGGTGAACTCCTTTGAGGGCAGGTTCCTATGGTGTAATTAGCACGTTGGTTTTTTGGAATGTAGTGCAGAATTTTAAAACTGTCCTTTTATTCAGTTCGTTCTAAGCAATTTTATCTCTTCTTTCCAACTGATAAGAATCTCACAGTGTCCATTCTGCCAGCCGTCGTATTGGCCCTCAGTGCCAGCTTTGTGTCATCTTTGATGTATTAATAAGGGCTTGCATCTTTCATGAGGACTTTAGTAAAATGTCTTACTGAATGTTACATTAGCTAGAACCTCACGAAATTGCCAATGCACCAGTATTTTCATGTACTAAAATTGGCAATTTCACATGATTCGATCTAGTCGTTTATGGTTACAAAGCTGTAACACGTCATATTGATCAGCATAACCCTGATAATGAAAGTAAATTAATTTGGTTCACCTGTCCTTAGGGACCATTCTTCCTGCTTTGTCTTCTTTATCTCTCGCTAACCATTGATTTACAAAATCCACTCTAGTGTATTACTGGGGTTTAAGCAGTATGTATAGTCTTTGGACATTTGTTATGATTGTTTTATGTCTCTAAATATTTTCACCAGTGCTTTGAGGAACAAAATCTTATCTTGTTTATGGCTTTTTAAGCTCACGAAAAAGAAAATAAGTTTAGCTACAATGATAAAAACAGCTTTTTAGTTATAAAATCTATTAAGGTGTAACAGAGTGGACTTCAGTTTTGTTAACCACCTTGTCACCTTGGTTTCAGACCTAGTAAACCCTCCAACTGAAACAGCTGATTCGTAAAATGTGATATTAAAAAATCTAATTCATTGACTTTTTAAATGTGTAGAAAACTATAAAATAAATTCATAATGTTGATATTAACTATATAATAATAATTTGTTTCTAGAACCTCCCTTCTGGATCATCTCGTGTTGGAGCCATTAAACTTACCTACATTTCAAAGGTAGACTTTCTATGTGTTCAATTACAGTTATGTTTGAATTAAAATCTCTCAGAATGGGAGTGTGAATAAAGGGAGCAAATTTCCTTTCTGTGTCTTTTAATGATGATGGTCTGGTGCATATCATGCTGAAAGTAGTGCCTGATTACTATGTTTAGGATGTTCTTGATAAAATTAGGAAGAATATGGAATTAACTTATAGGATGTAACACTGCAGACGTTAACATTGACTTCTATGGTCAAGTATATGAACAGCAGAGGGGAGACGTCTGTTAACTATTGGGTCCTGTCCCTGGGAAGTGGAAGATATTTTTCTAAGTCTGTACTATACTTATTTAAACTTTCTGATTTTTAAGTCCATTATCTTAGCTTTTTGTTTTTGCTCAACTAGTTTGAACAACTAGTTTTGGGGTTTTTTTTTTGTTTGTTGATTTTTCTAGCATTTTTGCAGCACCATTTTCTTCTTTAAAATTTGGATTTGATATTTCAGGTAGTTCTTATCCTGTGTTTTTTTTGTGTTTCACACAAACGTAATACATTTGTCGATAACTTAGGATATGAGATGTGAAAAGTAGCAACATGATATGATTAAGAAATACACATGTGCACACTGTTATGCACATACTAGAATCTGTCAGCAGCCGTCTTCAGCAGACCAGTTTACAAGTGTGTCTCTGTTTAAAAGATTTTTCATAATAAAGTACTTCGTTATCAGTATAACAATAGAGCTATTCATTCTCACTAATTAAAAAAAAAGCCCTTGAATAAGAAAGATTAAAGGGAAACAATTTATGTTAAAGCCATATACTATAAATTGATGAGACAAATACTGTGTAAGTTTACCTCAAGTGGTCCTGTAAATTAAGACACTTAGTAAATTCTTCAGGGTAGCTCGCAGCTGAAATTCTACAGAGACCAGTGTTGGGAAGCCTGGAACTCCACGGTTAAGTCAGCTCCCGGTCCCCCGTTCGCTTCCTTGCTTGTGGTGAACGTGCACCGTGACACCTCTGTGCTGCCAGCGGTTGGACGCTCGGTGCAGTGGGGTGGACAGGGCCGTTGCATTGGAATGGGCAGTCGAGGGAGACACTGCTCGCGTCTTTCTAAAAACGGGAGCTCTTTTAATTTTTTTTTTTTCAAGGTAAAGTGTGCTTTTACTTTTATTTTTTCCTTTGTATTGGCACTTAATTCATACTTGATTTTAATAAAAGATTGCTGTAGTTTTTTTAACTTTTTTTCTAATTATAGTTCACAGTCAGTATTATGTTGTATTGGTTTCAGATGGAAAAATGGGAGCTCTTTTTAAAAATAAACTGTTTACTAAGCAAGCAGGCTGACCGGCCAGCTGCTTTCCCTTTCTCCACTGCTTCCCTTTTAAGATGTGACCTTCTCCGTGTAGTTCTGTTAACTCTCATCTCTGTCCACAGCTTACAGAAGTTTGAATGGTACAATTTGTACTCACTTTAGACATGCCACTTTTTTCCCCAGAACTTATTCCTGGAACAAACTTTAGAGTGACTCAGACCTGAGAATTTATAGTTGGGATCAGTCAGGAACCTTAGGCTTAGAATTCTTTTTGAAAGTACAAACAGATGCTACAATTATAAGTTCTAACACTGGTCAACAGTATGGCAAATAGTCATGAATGGGCTTCCAAGAGAGCTGCTGTACTTAAAGGGACAGCAGCAGGCAGGTACAGTTCGTTGGGTCACCTTCTCAGAGGAACTATGTGCTCCATTTAGTAAACTGACCCCATTTGCCCAGGATATTCTAATGTACCAGAGAGGGTCCAGTTCAGTTTTGACTTCCTCACTGCAGATTAGTGCCTTCTGGATTACATACTCTCTCCTCCGCCTGCCATCATTTTCTCTTAAGTTCACAGCTAGCTAGAAATGCATAATTTGGGAAGAATTCATAGTTTTGCAGAGTATTCATTGAAGGTATTTTGAAAAATATGTTAAGTTAAAAATATATGTGTGACCTAAAACTTAATAGCTTACTTTCAACTTTCTCACGTGTTCTTTGGAAATAAACAAGATTGTTCAAAGAGAACATAGTAGTAGCAGTTGTTATAAACAGCTTGCTGTCATGCCCTGTATTATTTAATCTGCACTTCTTTCTCAGCTCCCTTTAAAGTTTGATGCTAGATCTGGGTGCTAGATGTGTATGTTGGGAAAGCACGTATGGGAAAGTTTGCACGGTGTTGCAGGCTGGCTGTGGTGCCATATGAAGAAGCGAGTGATTTGCATCTTTCTTTTTAGGTTAGCGATGCAACTAAGCTAAGACCAAAGGCTGAGTTCTGTTTTGGTAAGTAGACATATTTTATATGTTGGTGACTTTTAAAAAAATTTTTATTTACTTATTTTTAGAGAGAGGGAAAGGGAAGGAGAAAGAGTGGGAGAGAAACATCAGTGCGTGGCTGCCTCTCACGTGTCTCCCACTGGGGACCCTGCCGCAACCCAGGCATGTGCCCCGACTGGGAATTGAACTGGTGACCCTTTGCTTCACAAGCCCGTGCTTAATCCACTGAGCCACACCAGCCAGGGCTATATGTTAGTGATTTTAAGTTAGACTTATATAATTACGTATATTGTAAAAGAAAACAGTTGTCAGAAACCACATAACACAAACTAAGGGCTAATGAATTTATTCTAAGGCCAAGTCCCTTGAAGCCTCCATCCAGGTGAAGAATAAAACTACTGCTCTATTACCCATGAAGCCTCTTTCCCTGTCTCGTCCCAGTTGAGACCTCTGCCCTCTGCCAATGTGTAGTCATCACCTAGGTTTTTACAGTGATTACATCCAGCAAGGCTTAAGGACATTTTTTACTCCCTACTTTGTATTATTCCATATTAAATACATAAACAATGAAAAGGATTCTGTTTTCAGCCTGTGGGTCATGAGTTTACAGTGTGGGTAGTTGAGTGACTTTCTGATACGTGTGTGCTGTGCATAGCACCAGGGCTGTGACAGTAACAAGCAGCAGTGCTGCCCTTAAGACTCACAGGCTGGTTGTCTCACAGGCGGATGCAAGGTCAGGTGATTACTGCATTTATTACAGTCACGTGAAGGGGTGTACAGTCTATTCAAGAAGGACAAGGAAGAGCTTCAAGTCCTTATTGGGCATCTTGGGAGCCAGGGGAGCCTCACTGAAGGAGGAAACCCTTGAGCCGGTGGCCAGCCAACCCTGAGCATCCTTTGCCATTGGGCAGAAAAGGGAGGTAGGAGGCCCTCAGGGACAGAGTGGTGCAGGGGCTAGAGCAGGGTGTGCGGGGAACAGTGAAGCTGGAGGGAACGCTGAGAGACTAAAACATAAACGTGGGCAGAAGACACGGCATGATACGATGTTGACTAGAGATTTTTTTCTTAAGGTGAGAAATTAGCATCTAGAAAGCACACATCAGGTGAAGGAAAGTTTTGGGTTTTGTCTGCATAAGAGGGTTTTGATGCAGGTTGATTGGTTAAGTGGCTTTCAGGCGGCCATCCTTACATGAGGGCCTGAATCGGGTGGTGGCAGTGGGGGAAAGAGGAAGGATGAAAAACACTGGGAGGAGAAGTGCAGGGACTTGGTAACTGGATATGTGGGAGTTGAGGGGACAGCAGAGACATTTGTGTAGGTTTGCTTCAAGTAAAGAAATGACTCCAGAGGAGTGATTGATTGATGGGGTGAAAGGTTTGTTAAGGAGTTTGATGGCAGGAAGCAGCCAGATGGAAATGTTCTGGTGACAGTAATTAAGGACTGGATGGAGCTTGAAGATGAAGAATGGAGAAATTTGGAATCTGTTAAAATTGTGGGTGAGCGTTGAAGCTGGAAGAATTGATGTGCTCTCAGAGAGCATGTTAGTGGACATTAGTGATGGGAGGGACAGAAATTAGGAGTGGCCTGCTGATGTCAAAAGGGACTATGTTACATCAAAGCATAGATGTCTTTTGGGGTAGGGTTGACATTAAAGATCTCTGTTCTCTTCTGCGTGAGCAGGGCTGGTTTGTCAGTAGACGGTATGTTAGGGAAAGCGTCTAATAGCGTCTCATACATCAGGCAATAAAATGGGATGTGAACAGGGTGTAACAGCGCCGATCAGAGAAGCCACTGCAATGCTTTTATCACTACTGAGGGACTAAAAAATGTCATGTGTTTGTTACAGATGTATAGTTCAGTTACTAAATAGGAAAATATGCCAGAGCCTCATGAATGAAAGGCTGCTGGGGGCAAGTCAAGTAATAGAACCTTGTATTTTAAAGTGGGTAATACACATGCTTTTGACAAGTTTTTTTTTTCTAATGTGAAATGTGGAACTTATAGTTTGAAGGAATAGGAATCTACAGTAATAGATTTGACGTCAGTTATTGGGGTATTTTAGTTGGGATCAAAGGTTAATTTTTTATTGGTCTGCCAGTGGTTTATTAGTCTTTGGCTGCTAAGGAGGGGTAAAGATGATCATAAGTTGCTTGCCGTTGGAGAGGGAGGCACTGCCTTCTAACATGGAACCACAACTTCTATTCAAGTGGGCAACATAAAGACTTTTCCATCACTATTTCCTCTCAAGTTTCCCAAAATAGTGGGAATAAGAAACACTCAAACTGTCTTCAACGAAACTTGCAGACATCTGTAACCCACAGCGCGTGTATGAAGGTGGACAGTGAATGGTGGAGGAGAGTAGCGAAAAGCTAGCCTTTTTCAGTGTGCTGCCCACTGCCTGCTTCTAGGTGGACTTGGGTACTGGTTAATGTGTAGGGGAGCAGCAGCAAGGAGGGACCAAAAATAGGGACTTCCAACCTCTAGTCCCCTACCCCCACCTGACTCCGTCTGGCAGCCACCCTTTCCCCATCCCAGCAAGAAGTGGCATCTGTATTATCTCCAGAGATGGGATCTTCGAGGCTCTGTGCTTGGGGACACTAGTCCCAGAGAAGGGGAGAGATGAGGCATGAAACCGAAAACAGGATTACACAGAAGTCCATGCACTGTCCAGCTCCAGGACGTTGGGCCGCCAGGTGTGGCTGGGACACCCTAGAGAAGAGAGCCATGGACACTGCCCCCGGGGCGTTCCTGCTAGAGGAGCTTGTTGTCCGGTGAAGCCCGCCAGTCAGCCACCCTGCCCGTGTCCAAGAGAGCTTCCAGTGCCTTGTTTTTAAACATGAACAGGTGGTCCAGGGTTACGTGACATAGAGGAGAGAGAGCCAGCCATCAAATAGAAAAAGGAACGTGAGACAATGGGGAACTCAGGGGAAAAGTCAGGAAAACCTAAAGTAGAACAAAGACAAAAACAGATAATAGGAAGGAAATAAAGAAATTAGAAGTTAAATTAAGGAAGTTCACCATCTGACTAGTACGAAAAGTATAGAGGGAATAGAGAATATGGACAAAGAAATAACAGTAAAATTAATAGTAAAATGCCTCATAATCGTTTGATCCAGTCCTGAACCATAAGCAGTCTGTCCTAGGTGTTGAGATGGTGGTTGTTGGCAGTCAAGCTAATATTTGCGCTTTGGGTTTTATACTTACGATATATTCAGTCTGTCGGTAAAGATTTGAAGTGAAATAAAGAAGTCCTAGGTGAGAAGGTAGTAGAAACACCAGCCTCTGGGGTCATTGCACACGAAACCCTTGCTTTCAATGTGTAACAGCTTGGAGGTCTCATGCAGTTGTTTCAGTGATTATTATTCAGAGTTTTGTTTCTTCCTTTCCCTGTGTCCCTCCCCTGACATGGCTAATATGACACTTTTTAGTAATTTGCTTTACATTTTTCGTGATGCTTTTGTATTTGGAAATCTGTAGATGATGATGGTGATGAAGAAGATCTGTTTTGTCCCAAGCACTATACTAGTTTCTTTACACACATTACCTCCATTCCTCAAGGAAGGGATGGGGGACATTCCATTTCGTAGAGGAGAAAAAAGGGGCTCAGAGAGATTGAACAGTTTTATAAGACGACATTGTTAGTAGGTCATGTGCTAGCCGGGTCTGACTGACTGGGCTCTGATTTTGTAACCCCCACCATATCGCCATGTTCCTTCCTGCCCTGAAATGATATTTAGGGCACAGGAACTTTTATTCAGACTGCAAGGTGTGCTAAGAGTGTTTTTGGAGGTATATTTGCCCCTCTTCTGTCCCCTGAAAGAAGTTCATATATAATGTTATTTACTCAAAAAGGTATGTATTAAGCACTTGCTTTGTAGCAGGTGTAGTGCTTAGAGTTTCAAATTCTTTAGATGTTCTCTGCAGATGCCCAAAATAATTTTTTTACAAATATTTTAAAAATATTTTACAAATATTTTATTTATTGTTATTTTAGAGGGGAAGGGAGGGAGAAAGAAAGGGAGAGAATCATCGATGGGTCGCCTCTTGCATGCTGGCCCCCAGCCCAGGCCTGGCTCCTGACCTGGAACAGGACCAGCGCCCTGTCCACAGAGACGCACCAGCCAGGGTGAAACACAGTTTTGAGAGGAGGAAGCCATTATGAGGAGCGCTTGACTTTAGCCTAAATGTGAAAAAGATTATGAAATGGTGCTTTACTGATTGTTAGAAATTAAAAACGTAAGCTAAATACTGACATTGTCCTAGTGAGTCACTAATTTATTTTCACTTATATTTGTGGCATTTATAACTTCTCCCATCCCTAGTAAGACATAAAAGAACTGATTTACAGTGTTTAAATTTTTTCAGTTTGGCCCTGGCTGGTGTGGCTCAGTGGATTGAGCGCTGCTTGACTGCAAAGCAAAAGGTCACTGGTTTGATTCCCAGTCAGGACACATGCCTGGGTTTTCGGCCAGGTCCCCAGTAGGGGGCATGTGAGGGGTAAACACACTTTGATGATTCTCTCCCTCTCTTTATCTGTCCCTTCCCCTCTCTCTATAATAAATAAATAAATCTTTAAAAAGATTTTTTTTTAGTTTTCAGACCACTTGTTTTATAGCATTCCATGAGAAACAATTTGCTTTCCTAAGACCCTCATCTTAATTCAAGTAAGCGCTCGTTTGGTGTCTTGATCTCAGTTCTGCTTTCAAAATCTTGTGCATTTGAGAAACAGCCTTTTCTTTGAGGGCTTTCGTTGCCCCCTTCCTTTGGTCATACCGAACTGAGTGCTAGGACACTATGTAAAATTTCGACGGAGACTTCTGGAAGTTATTCTTATATTTCAAAAATTCTAGCCGTAGCTATTCAGATGCCTTCACTCCTAGAATGATCCTTGTTTTTTAAAAAATGCACATGACACATAACTAATAAGCCTTAGTATCAGAGTTGAGTGGTGGTTTGTAGACAACTGTGCAGACAGAGGAGGTCTTCGCTTCAGTCACTAAATGGGCATATAGAAATTTAATTGCATAGAAGTTCTACATGTGTTCATATTTTAAATATAAAATATACATGTGCTAGAGAGATACAGATGTTTATTTTTATAATTTTGGGGATATTTAAAAAATATGATACGAAAGCTAGAGTCATTAAAGCAAAAGGTTGATAGAAAATTCCTGTTTGGATAGAAAATTACTGTTTGATAAGAGATACCATGAACAGTGAAAAGAAGAATGACACTTGATAAAGTACTTGGAATGAAACAGGAAAAATTCCTATGAAAGTTCTTATAAATCACTCAACAATAAATGAACAACTCAGGAGAAATATGGGTAAGGAGAATACATAAAGCCCACAAATATATATGGCCAATAAGCATATAAAACTAACTTGTTTCAATCGTCAGTGGAATTCAAATTTATTTATATTTTTAAATCTAAAATTCTCATTTTAATTGAATTTACTGAGGTATAGAAATACACATCATCTGTATGTTATAGCGTGTGTTCACCAACATAAGTCACGTGTCTATTCATCACCTACAGCAATTTATCCCCTCTTCACCCTTTCCTACCTCCCTGCCACCTGAATTCAAATTTAAATAAGGTATAATTACTCACCAATTAGGTAGTCAGAGAGTGCTCAGGATCAAGGTCCTGGCAGGAAAACCCACCTCACCAGGTATTTCAAACCCTGGGGATTCGTTACAGGGTATTGGTTACTCAGCTGTGGGAAGGCTGAAGGAGCACAGAAGGAGGGCTCAAGTGAGGCCAGAGGAATCCACAAATTAGAAACTGCTGGAAGCAGCTACCACCCCCAGGGTTGGAGAGAAATAATGGGAGAGAAGTAGTTTCACCAGAACCTTGGGAGGAGTGGCCACGGGAGCTGGCGATTGACATCTGCTAGGACTGCGAGGCCGCTGTGGGGAGCAGACTATCTGGTTGTGCCTTGCTGCTCCTACTGCTGCAGCAGCTGCTCCGAGGCCTCCTCCTCTTCCTCCTCCTCCTCCTCCTCCTTCTCCTCTTCCTCCTCCTCCTCCTCCTCCTCCTCCTCTTCCTCCTCCTTGAGGGAGGTTGGCTACAGCAGTAGTCTGCATAGTTGGTAAGAGTGTAAAATAAGTTTCTAATATCTACAAGAATTTTCACTGTGAATTCCTTTTGATACAAGTCTATATTAAGAAATTTATCCTATAGAAATGCTAGCCTAAGTATGGAGAAATGTGTGTATATGATGTTTCCTTGGGCTATTTTATATAATTTCAAAAATTGGAAATAGCCTAAGTGTTCATCATTAGGGGATGGGCTGAATGTATTGTGGTATTTCTGCTTAGTGAGAAATATGGCCATTATAAAGGAGAGTTTACCTATGTTATTGGTGATAGCAGTATTATATATGGTTTTACATTTTGTCAAATCCGAGAGAGTTACAGTATTGATTACAGTGTGGTTTTTCAACTATTGTAAACATCAACTTAGAGGTAACAAGTGTAAAATTTTGTGTATTGTAGTTTATTTTTTTCTCTCAACAGTTATGAACGCAGGGATGAGGAAATATTTTCTACAAGCTAATGATCAGCAAGACCTAGTAGAATGGGTAAATGTGTTGAACAAAGCTATAAAAATTACAGTAAGTATTTGTATTTTAACAATTTTAATGTCAATGTAATGTTCACATTTTGAAAATACACCTACTGAATAATAACTGAATTACTCATAGGTTGCATATTCAAAGTTTATTTAAGAGAGGTGTTTATAATGTGAATAAATGCCTTTTTAAGCCCATGCTGCGTTGCCATAGACTTTAGCTGCGGTGTATAATGTTTCTAGGGGAAATCGCATGCGAGAGTTCTACGTTGAGGATCTTTTTCTCCTCTGGGAGGAAGAGGCTTCCTGCCGCCCACCCAGGGAACAGGCGTAGGCATTCATTCCGGTCTTCTGTGTGACTGGGGCTGCTGTTAGGCAGGGCCTGGGCTGGGGGTGAGGGTGAAGGGCCAGGGGGAGGGGGGGGTGAAGTGCAGGCTTAGGAATGGATCTGAAGAGCTGTGGCCCCCAGAGGCTTCCGCCCATGTGGCCCTCGGGGAGTTCATTTGTCTGAGGCTCTAAACTTCTTGGTGCACCCACCTTTTTCGCCTGCGTTCCAGAGCTTGCTGCCCTCGTGCGCCTTTTCTGTGCCGCAGCTTCTGCTTCCTGGGCTTCTCTCTTTGGTTTTCTGATGAACACTAATCAGTATTGAGTATTTACAGTGTGCCAGGCCTCGCACCGAAGGTTTACCTAAATTAGGGGAAACATGAGGCTTAGAAGGATTGGCCAACTGTTACAAACTTCATAACTGGTTGGTTGTGGAGCTGCGAGCCAAACCCAGTCTGTGTGACTGTGGACCTCACTGGGAAGCACGTGACTGCTGCTTTCCGCGATAGCACCCTTCCTTTACTCTGTCCCTGAAGCAAAAACAGGCTTTTGAAAGAGAGCTTACAGCTGATGGTAAGCAAGGAAATGGGTTCTGGCCCCTGGTTTTCCTTGTATTTTCCTCTTTACACACTGGTAGAGAAGCCCATGGTAGGCCCACATGGAAAGGGTGAGGGAGGAATTCCCATGTGAGCCTGTGTGTTTTTACTGAAGTGCAGTTACTTTACTGACCCCAAACAACTTACTCTCAGAAAACATATGCCTAGAAAGTCAGCATATGTTAGAGTCTATATTTACATCACAACACAATAAAGAGTTAATGTAACAAAGCTGTTCTCAGAGTTAGGTTGAAATTTTCTGTCTCGCACGAGAACAGCTTGCTACCACATGACAGAAAACACCCACGCACCGCATCTGATCTGTCCGTGAAGCAGAAGTTATTTTAGGTTTGTGCACTTTCAAGAAGGCAAATTTTTAACTGATTCAGAGTACAAATTCTTAAAAAGTTTTCACTGACTTTTAAGAAAAATGAAAAACGTCATGTTTATTTTTAGAGAGGGAAATGGAGGGAGAAAGGAGAGAAACGTGGGTGTGAGAGAGAAGCACAGACTGGTTTCTCACTTGCGCTCCAACTAGGGACCCGACTCACAGCCCAGGCACGTGCCCTGCCCAGGGATCGAACCAACAGCCTTTCGCCGTGCAGGATGAGGCCCAGCTAACGCGGATGGTTTTTAACTCTTCTAATAAATGTCCCTTACTTGGAAAGTTTCCTTAGACTACATCTAGAAGCTTTACCGAATTAATTAACTTTTTACAATTGCAGTAATAAGCAGCACAGGTTTCTTGGTGCTTTAAGAGGAAAAGTGGTGAAGGGTCTCAGGCTTTTTCTCTTTTGAAGTAACAGCAGCACAGGCAGTGAGACCTCGCCTGCCTGCCCTTGATGCCTGCCGTCTGCCTGGAGAGCCCTTTTCTGACTCTAATTAGTCAGCTGGCTTTTTTTCCTGTCCTAAAAATGTTTAATGGCTGAATATGAACTAATTTTTATTAGAATTTTTAGGGAAGTTGCTATATTTGTGGCTGTTTTGCTTATGTTTTTCCTAGGGGAAAAGATGATTATAATTTCGCTGATTTTTTAATTATAAAATGTAGTTCTGAGTTAATTCTTGGATTCTGCTGTTGGAATTATGCTATATTTAGCATTTTACTTTAAGGACACATTAGAAGCAGTGGGCTTAACATCATAGGCAAGGATTTTTAATATACTGTCATTTTGAGAAGGAAAATGGAAAACCAATATAAGTTTCAGTATACTTCTGGGAGGATATTAAAGGTTTTTCTCAGGAAATTCTCGTGATGGTCAAACTCTAGGCTTCTTGGAAGAGGGACGGCTCCTCCTCGGGGCACTGTTGAGCGGCACACTTGAGTCAGGTGGCTCCAGTGAGGCATTTTCTCTCTGGTTTCACCTTCTCTTACTGCTGTTTGCTGTTCGTGATGGGATAACTTGGCCACATTTTCTTAGTCAAAATAATTTAAATAGATGATGCTGCTCATTAGGAAACCCTACAGGCTTCCTTAGTGAATTGTTTTGGGGGTGGAGTCCTTGTAGCCCTTTCGCTCTTAAGTATTTATTTGAATCTCGTTAAGTAAAATTTGTCCAAGATTGTGCTGCCTGTAAAAAGCACTCCACGACCTGCAGCCTCTTAGAAACTGACAAGGACTCAGGATGCATCTCCTTCCAGTGCATTTCTCCTCCTTTCCTTTCCTTTCTTTTGTCTCTGCCAGTGACTGGCATTGTCCTGTAAATGCAGATGCGGGGGGGGGGGGGGGGGGGGGGCGGTGTGCTGGCTGGGCTTGAGGTCAGAGGAGAAATAAGAGGGAGTTTCAGAATCACCCGAGAGACAAGCTTCTTGTGTCCATAAATTACATGTATGTGGAGTGGAAACTGCCAGAGCTCCTCAAAACCAGGTGTGCCCAGTGTTTTGCAGAAAGTGTCTTTGTAAAGCCTTGTCTGCAAACACCACTGGGTACCTGGTTTCCCCGGACCTGGTGGGACTGGCGTGATAAAGAGAATAGAGTTTGGAGCTGTGTTTCTCAAAGTGTGGAAACTCCCACCTCAAAAATGTCTGGTGTTTTTACTTAAAGTGAACTTTTGTGGACTGCACCGTAGATTTATTGAATCAGAATTTCTGGGTATGGAGCTGAGAATCCGAAGTTTTTCATAGTATTCCTGGGTGATACTTCTCACACAGTAAAACTTGAGAAACTGCACTGCTTTGAAATCAATAAACAGTTTGGGTCTTCAGATGCGGTGTGAATGGTGTCCCCTGTAGCTGTGCCAGGACCTTGTTGGCAGAATTAACTGTGTGGCAGACAAGCTATTTAATTTTAAATTACATGCGTTTACACCTTTACTCCTGTGCCGGTTGGTAGTGTTTGTCATAATTTTTCTGATAGACTGCAAGATCTTCAGATGCCTTTTAAATCATTGGTGAGAGGTTAAATATCATGTTCAACATCATAATTGGTGCCGAGCATACTTTATTACATTTTATTCAAACCTTAAAAATTTATAATTCAGATATAGACCACATGAAACAGTCTATTGATAGAAATAGTAGTTAACCATGGGCCTTATTCCCTGATTAGGCCATGTAAGAAAAATGTATGTTAAACACTTTAACATAAAGTAAAAATGAAACATTTTTAACATTTAAAAAAATAAAATGTATGCTAAATACTTGTAATGCCTTTGATTCCATTTAGTGAGGTATTTGGATATGAAATTCATATATTAACAGTCACTGTTTATTCTTGTGAGTGATTTGTTACTGATATAGATGTTGGAATTCTTTTTAAAATTCCTAGTAAATTTTAAGTTGTTTTGAGCATTTTGACTTTTAATTTATAAATATTTTGTTCTTTTCTTCCTCCTTTTGGATTTTTCTATTGAGTCAGCCCTCCAACATTTATTGACTGCTAAGTATGTTTTCAGTAACAGACACCGCCCCAAAGCTAGTGCTGCCAAGTGCGCTGCCGTCCTGTCCTCAGGGACACGGCGCGTCTGGAATGGGAAGGAGGGAGGAAAGGATGGCGGCACAGAGCTGCAGTACGACGACGAGTGACAAACAGGCGTCAGGGAGCAGCTGAGTGTGGAAGACGTGAGACTGAGCTCCGGTGTCACGCCTTCCCTGGTGCCTCCGCGTCTGTCGTTTTCCTGCTGCAGTGAAGCTCTGCCCTGTGCATAGGGTTGGATAGGAGGGTGAAATGAGAAAGGTGTGAAATGGTACCTGCCCGAGGAAGCAAGTGTTCTGTAAATTGTGGCTGTGTTATAAACATTGTTGTAACTGAAAATGTAGTGTGAGAGCTTATTAAATAGTTACATACACATGCTATCAGTAATTTTTATACATGTTAGGCTTACGTAAATAGACTAAACTGGAAATTCTGTGATAAAAGAGGGTATCATATGTAATACTGGTTGCAAAACCATTCGCCCGACTTACTGTTTCAGGTGCCAAAGCAGTCAGACTCACAGCCTCATTCTGAAAACCTGAGTCGCCAAGGAGAATGCGGGAAGAAGCAGGTGTCGTACAGAACGGACATCGTTGGCGGTGTCCCTATCATTACTCCCACTCAGGTAGCAAATGCATCCCTCTCCTGCTTGATGCTTTCATGATGCAGATTGATTTCAGTGCCGCTATCAAAATTAAAACAAGACATCTCCTGAATTAATGCAGTACAGTAGTCAGTTAACACAAAAAACTCGAATATTTGGTTATTTCAGAAGTATGTTGTAAAAAATTTAGAAATCACAGATAAACAAGACTTGGTATTTCGTGGTTTTTTCCTGAGCCTTTCTTTTGTGTACTTTTATCCTCAGAAATGGAGATATAGTTGAACCTTAAACAACACAGGTTTGAACTGCACTGGTCTGTCTGTACACAGATTTGTTTTCATCCCCGATTGGGGTCCTTCAATGCAGAGGGCTGACTTCCTGCGCTGACTACACCATTTCACACGGGGCCTGAGTGTCTGGTGTCGGCATGTGCAGGGGATTGTGGAACCAGTGCCCTGCACATACGAGGGACTATTATTTATTTATTTATTTTTAGGCGGAAGGGAAGGGAAGGAGAGAGGGAGAGAAATACCATTGTGTAGTTCCCTCTTGTGCGCCCCCTCCTGGGGAACTGTCCTGCAACCCAGGCATGTGCCCTGACTGGGAATCAAACCAGGGACCTTTTGGTTCATAGGCCGCACTCAATCCACTGAGCTACACCAGCCAGGGCACCTTTTTTTTTTTTTTTTTTTTACAGAGTGGGGAAGGAAGGGAGAAGGCGAAGGAGAGGGAGAGAAACATCACTTTGAGAGGGAAACGTATTGGTTGCCTCCCATGCATGCGTATCTCAGCTGGGAGCTAGACCTGCATCTCAGGCATGTGCTGGACCTGAATGGAACTGGTGACCCTTCTCTTTGCTGAAGGATGAGACTGAGCCTCATCAGTCAGGGCTCCAGTGTCGGTTTTGATAATCCAGTTACAGAGTATCCCTGTTTGGGGGCATCGTTTGAAGGGTGTTTAGCACTCTGAATCTTAAAAAATAACTTTTTGTAAATCTATATAATTACTTCAAGATACAAAGTTAAACCTCCACCCCCTTCCCACCACACAAGCACACACACACATAGCACAGGTTGCAGGACTTATGCAGAACAAGAGAAATACAAATCTGTGGTTTAATCAGTGATGGGAAAGTTAGGATTGAGTATCTCAAATTATTAGAAAACTTTTTACTTGCAAATCTGTGCTCTTAGGTAAAGTTGAAGATTTCTATTAGGAAACAACATGACCTACAAGTGTGACTTTTTTCCTTTAAATTTAAAAACTTTCCAGTGATGGTTTGCAGTCAGTGCTGTCTTTCTTCTATTAGTTTTGGGTGCCCAGCACGGTGGCTGGACAGCGTGCCCTTGACAGAGCGCTCCTCCGATGGGTCCGGTGCCCGCCTGGCACTGAGCCTGGCTGTCGCAGTCTTACCGACCATGTTTCCGTTCCGGTGCTGCACTACAGGTTTGCTCTGAAGCCAAACACACAGGGAAACAGGGTGTCTCTTTTTTGCTTCATTGTAGAAAGAAGAAGTAAATGACTGTGGTGACGGTATTGACAGAAATCATCTGAAACGGTCGCAAAGCCATCTTCCCTACTTTACCCCTAAGCCTCCTCCGGACAGCGCGGTTATCAAAGCTGGCTATTGTGTAAAGCAAGGGGCGGTGGTGAGTAGCTGACCAGAATGTGTGCAGTAAAGAAGCTTGAGTGGCAGGAGCGGACTCAGCACACGAATTGTTCGTTTTGTGAAAGACCCAAAGTGCGAGATGAGCATGCCGAGGAGTCAGGAGGTGGAATAAGGGTTATTCTGTGTTCATAACTCAGTGCTGTTATTTTCTTGGTCTCTGAGCAGCTGGGTAAATGAATGCTTATACCACTGACCTTCTGTTTTAAATGAGCTTTCCTAACAGTTTTATTTATTTCAAAACATTTTTCTCTTGATCTCCACACCCACCTTGGGAGTGGCTCAAGGAAAGAGCAGGAAAGGGGCGGGTGTGGAAGTCAGCCCAACACTCAGTTTGGTGTTGGGCTGATTTCATTTGCAAGCTCTGGGACCTTGGGCTACACTACCTCTCAGCCTCTCAGTTTCTTTGGAAGGAAAGCCGTACATAAAACACGCCGTCCCGAAGGGTTTCTGAAGGAGGTAGACACGAGGGCACTCAGCACGGCGCCTGGTCCTTGGCGAGCGCTGGTACGGGTCAGCCAGACATTCCCACACGACCGGGTCCAGGGTGGGGCTGCAGGGAGAGCTGAGTGCATCTCCCAGTGTTTCTGAGGTGCCAAAGTGCCTTTTAAAGATGTGAGTCGTTCTCTCTGGGTCAGGTAAATCTTTAGAATTTTGTAAGGAAGTAAACCTTAAAGTTTTCAAATAAATGAAGAGAATTCTGAAGTGAAGAAAGACTGCAAGCTTATCAGCAGTTTCTTTTTTCTTCCCATCCTCCCTTCCTCCCTTGCTCTCTATTTTTTAAAAAAAGATTTTATCTGTATTTGTTAGAGGGGAATGGAGGAAGAAAGAGGGAGGCGAGAAACATTGACCAGGTTGCCTCTGACACACCCCCAACTGGCTCATAACCCAGGCATGTGTCCCGAATGGAATCAAATCGAATCAAACCTTCGACCTTTTGGTCCGTGGGGCCATTCCCAATCTACTGACCCACACCAGCCAGAGCTACTGGCAGTTTCTTTGTTTTCACATCTCTTCCGATTAGCTTAGGTCAGCCAGGGGAAGGTTCTTTCAGTCCTAATTGTTTGGCCTTCTTTTTTGAGCATTCTTTAGGTTGAGGGAAATGAAGGTGGGGCTGGAGGTTTCTTACTCTCTCGTGTCTGCAGAGAAGTCTGAGTCCTCCAGCTGTGACTAGCTTGAGTGTTAGGGCTTTTAAGGAGATGTTCCTTTCTTTTGTTTTTCAAAAAATTTATGTTAGAGAGAGACGCATTGATTTGTTGTTTCATTTATTTGTGCACTCATTGGTCTATTCTTGCGTGTGCCCTGAGTGGGGACGGGGACGGAGCCACAACCCTGATGTGCTGGGAAGATGCTCTGACCAACTGAGCACCCGGCCGGGGCCAGGAGACACTCTTTTCTTTGAGTTTTACTCTCAAGTCCAAAATACCAGCCCTGTGAGAGATCAAAGTACTTTCACAAAAGCTATGTTTCACTGACAAAGTAGGCTCACTTTTTAAAATATTTATTGTTTTACCACTAAGTATCAAGTACTTACAGAAAGACTTGTGCGTTTTGTGAGTATAGATGGAGAAACTCAATGTGGTTTAATAACATTTCCTGTTCTTGCTCTTGAACTCTTGAGAGCATTTATTTTATGGGGGTTTGAGGGTGGAGAGGATGGGGAAGTGCTTTGTTCGAACTTTTAGAGCATTAAAAATATGACACTGTATTATAAAATCATATGATAAAAGCTGAAAGCCAGTCACCAAGGGTGAATTAGCAGTTCAAGGCCTAAGTAGCAAAAAAAATGAAATTTCATGTATCTTCTCATTATGGGAGGGTAGTGCGAGTTTTTTAGTGCTTAACATTTCCAGTTGTGGGTTCGTTTCAGACTAATTAAATGGTTATTAACATTTGACATTCTTAAAAACAGAAGTCTTATGTCTGTGTTCATCTCTGGTAGATGAAAAACTGGAAGAGAAGATATTTTCAATTGGATGAAAACACAATAGGCTACTTCAAATCTGAACTGGTATGTTGCTCTGTCATAAATGTTGTTTTTATATGTTTGAGAAGTATTACACTGTGGTGATTTCTATATACATATATGTGATTTATTTCTCTGGTTTTCTGTTTTTTAAAATAATTAAAATCTGGTTTTGAGAGGTACATACAATTCATTTTTGTTGTGATGCTTTGGTAAGTGGTATTTTTCTTAAATATACCTTAAATTAAAAAGATCGTATTTTCCAAGACATTCCACCTTGAAGGAATTAAAATGTCTGAAACCCCTCCCCACTCCCCGCCCATCTGCCAGTTTCCTTAAAGGGGTGCTGGTAGAGGCGGTAGAGGAATTGAGTCCCTCAGAGCCAACATTCAGCCCTCGCTATTTCCGCCTTTCTTCTGCAGCCCCTCTTCACACTTTCTTTTCCCATCAGATTCACTTTTGAGTTCCTTCATGTGAGATGTTTTGTTCTCTCTGAAGGTAGAAATAGATTGCATTTCTTTTTCATTGGTTTGAGTAACATCCTTATTTAAAACTTTCTGGTCCTGTGACCTGAGTTTTGCAATAGATTGTTGGATAAATTGCATACGGTTCTACACTCTGCACATCTGGTCTACCTCTTACTGTTTTATGGGCCCTTTGGAGGGGAACCATGTGTTTCATTTGAACGAAGGCCCAGGAACAGCACCGTGGAACTTCGTACACTGGTGGCAGTGTCCTGTGTGCGCATTGGCCAGGTGTTCCGGCTACGTGTGGTGGTTGAGCGCTGGGAATTTGGCTAGTGTGGCTGAGGAACCTCACTTTATATAATTTCAGAATTAAAACTGATTATATCTAATACTTATAAATTTAAACTTACAGCTAGTGGTTGCTGTATTGGACAGCAGAGCACTGGAGAGTAAGAAGAGACTATTTTAAGGTTCATTGCAGGTGTCTGTTCTTCTGAAAGCATCCGAGTTGCTTTAAGTGCTTCTCTTTACCCATTATGGTACCTGATTACCATGTCTATCAACTGCTTACTCACTCTGTTTTGTAACTGTGTGCATACTTGTCCTTACCAGGTAACTGCTATATGAGCCTCTTTAGGGAAGATTTTCTTTGCACCCTTTTGTGAATGCAGCTCCTAGTACTTGGTAGAGATAATCACTAGGTGTGTTTGAATGGATGGGAAATGACATGGCATAACAGGAATAGCCACTTTAGCCAATGTAGCATGGGAGCCTCTCTCACACTTCAAATTCTAAGAGCCTCAACTGGAAGTGCTAGTTACTTGGTGCAAAAAACACCAGCCTCAGTGTCTCAGAAGGCCACAGATGTGCTTGGTCAGCAGGTCGATTCATTGCTTTTTTTTTTTTTAAAGGTTTATTTATTTTTAGAGAAAAGGGAGGGGAAGGAGAAAGAGAGAGAGAGAAACATTGATGTGTGAGAGAAACATGAACTGGTTGTGTCTCCCACACCCCCAACTGGGGACCTGGCCTGCAAGCCAGGCATGTGTCCTGACTGGGAATGAAACCAGCAACCCTTTGGTTCACAGGCTGGCGTGTGAACGCTCATGTTCAAAGTTGCAGGTGCAGGGTGGTCGGGAAGCAGCCCAGTTGCCATAGTTGGCATCTGCACAGCGTCCTGGGTGAGACCCAGGGATACCAGCACCCGAACCTCCAGCGGCGGGGCTGAGAGGAAGCCTCAGGGGCCCAGTGAAGTATCTGAAGAAATGCTGCATCGTCAGCACTCTTTCTGGCCCAGAGAGTGGTACGGAGTGCAAAACCGTGATGCGGTGGCTCCCCGTCAAAACGTGATTCAGAAGAGTTAGAATTTGGATGTGAGGTTTTCAAAAGCCTTAACCAGTTTATTTTACTTATATATTTTTGTATGTGCTAAAGAATGATATATGACAAAAATTGACGTTCTAACGTATGAGAGGACTCTTTTATAAGACCTTTTATATGGAAAAATTGAAACATTAAGTAGATTGGCTCTGTTTCTCAGACTTCATGATTATCAACGCATGGCTAGTTTTGTTTCTGCTGTATTACCATCCACTTCTTTCTTCATGCTTTGAACATGTCTTAGACATTATCATCTCATCTGTACATATTTTAATATGTATCTCTGAAAGATAAGGATTTAAATTTGTTTTTAGTAAGTTTGAAAGATTTAAGTATACAACTGAAAATTGGAAAAAGTATTTGTAGCATGTGTCAGAGATAAGACATTAATATCCCTAATGTACAAGGTCTGTCAGGAAAAAGTCCAGCCATTGTTAATAGAACGAGAATGGTTTGTGTGACATTGATGTAAGCTGGCAGCCAAGGAGAGTGGAGTGGAGTGTGCATGTGTGAACAATGACGCCTTCAGCATACTAGTCACTGGGGGCGGTAGATGCCATTGAGTGAGCATATGTACTGTGTGGCCGTCGCATTCAAAATGACTGAGCGAGTAGGGCAATGAATCTGTATCAGGTTTTGCATTAAGTTTGAACATTCCTCCATGAAAACTATTCGGATGGTTCAGAAGGATTTTGGGGACGATGCAATGAGTGCAGCGCAAATAAAAGTGTGGTGCGAATGCTTCAAAGATGGTCAAGAGTCTGTTGAAAGTGATCCACGTTCTGGAAGGCATGTAATGAGCAGAACCCTTGAGAATGTTGAACATGTATGGGCTGCAGTCGTCAAAGATTGGTGACAGTGCAAGAACTAGAAGCTGGTCTGGGAATTTCACAAACTACTGTGTCCGAGATTTTGACACAGGATGTTTTCATGAAATATTTCCTGGTAAAATTCATTCTGCAGCTTCTGCTGCCAGAACAGAAGCAGCATCGTGCTGCAGTTGCCAATGACTTGATTCAAACCACTACCAATGATGCCCTCAAGAAGGTCAGAACCAGAGATGAATGGTGGGGCTATGGCTCTGATCTGGAAATGAGGGCCCAGTCATCCCAATGGAAGTTGCCTGGTTCCCCATACCCGAAGATGGCGTGACAGAGTCGCAGCAAGATCAGGACTGTGTTAACTGTTTTTTGATTGGGAAGGCATCGTCCATCATAAATACACCCCTTCAGACCAAACAGTTATTAAGGAGTACCACCTCAGTGGTGTTTGTCGGTTGAGAGATGCAATATGTCAAAAATGGTCATAGCCACGGGCAGCTTATGATTGGCAGCTTCATCGTGCATCACATCTCATGCAGAGTATTTTGGCAAAACATCAAATCACCCAGGTGACTCAGTCCCCCTACAGCCCAGATTTGGCGCCCTGTGACTTCTGGCTTTTCCCCAAACTAAAATCACCTTTGAAAGGGAAGAGAATTCAGACCATCGATGAGATTCAAGAAAATACGATGTGGCAGTTGATGGTGATTCCAACAAAGGATTTCGCAGAGTGTTTGGAACAGTGGCAGAGATGCTGGGAGAGCTGTGTGAGGTCCCAAGGTGCCTACTTTGAAGGGAACGAGACGTCATTGTCCTACATACAATGTTTCCTGTATCTTGTAACTTCTTCAATAAATGTCTCTGTTTTTCATGTTACATGGCTGGACACCTTCTACATAGTCCTCAAAGAATCTTAAAAATTGGGGAGAGGGGTCTCTTCTTATCTTCTCCCTCCAACAATCCTAAACAATTCAGACCTAAATTTTGTAGGTGAGGAGAATCAGTGTGGGCATCCATGATAGTGGTGCGGGAGCAGAAGGGGCTAGAGCAGCCGGGTGTGTGTGGGCAGAACGAGGCAGCCATCTTGGCAGGTTAGCTCAGCGTGGAGTAGGGAGGGGAGGGCACCCACTTTGGAGAGAGTGGTAGCAGAGACAATAGAATAGTTACATATGCTTACTGATAAAATGAAGAAATTATTAAGGGTAATAGTAGTTGGTGTTTTCACTATCGAAGGAGTGGGTAATAAATACGAAAAAGGAGAACATTTTTATGTTTGATTGGAATAGGAAATGCTGATGGGAATTTTAAACATACACAGATGGGTATAGAAATAAATATAAGTATAAATGTACTTGTGTTTACACATATCTATATGTTTATGATATACTCCATAGCTCTGTGCACTGAAAAAACTACCTTTTTCCCCTGAAAGAAACCTAGGGTCCCTGGAGAAATGGCAAGATTTCAGACCTGGGACCTGAGAAATAAGAATAAAACAGTACTGGAATTTCTTATGTCAGAAAGCAAGGAAGTGCTTGCAGAATGATAGAGACATGTTACAGGACCCAAAATCCAACTGGAAAATTTCCTCCTCACCAAATTTGGGGCAGTTTCAGCATTAAAATTTTTAATTATGGTAATAGATTACTGCCCATCGAGTAAAATAAGAACCCACGTACTCGTGCACCATAAGTGGATGAGTGATGGTACATATATGTGTTTGATGATGAAGAAGAGATCGCATAGTTTCAAAGTGCCTAAATACAAAGGGGAAAGCAACTTTACAGTGAAGAATACTGGCAGATACCCCCCTGATCAGATGACCAAATGAATGGCCTTAACTTCATCAGTGATGAGTTAAATTCCTTCACTGCCCACCTGACGGGAAGGTTTGAGAAGAATGCAGGTCACTCCTGTGGTTTTCCTGAATCTCATCCAGAGGACTCATCAGACACACCCGTTCGTTCGCACAGGGGCTGCCGTAGGAATGCCTGCCCGTAATCTTCAGTCGAGTCCAGACTGCTGGAGTTAAGGACAGAATGGCTGAAGGAAAGAGGACATAGACAAGGAAATGCAGCCCATGATTCTGAATTTTTTAGCTTCAATAAAAGACATTTGGTGACTCTTACTGATTGTGGTGTTTGTGTTGTGATAAAGTAAGGGGATTTCTTTGTAGGAGACACACTAAAATGTTAGGGTAGTAGGAGCCAGGCCAGCGACTCTGAAATGGTTGAAACTCAGTTCTTTGTGCCGAGTTTTTGACCCTTGTCTAGGTTAAGTTTGAAAGTTTAGGGGAAAATATCTGCTCAGATAATGAGCAACAGAAATGAATAGACAGTTTATTTACAAAGAAATTGGTCTTTAAACATATAAAAAGATATACTTGTAATTAAAGAAGCACAAATTTAAAAAAGAAGCTTAGCAGATATATCACTTCTCATCTGTCATGAGAAAACCATTGCTGAGTGAACAGATGGGCACATCCTGTCCGCATTTTCACAGAAGGGCCCGTGGGGCAACAGCTGGTTTCAGAGCTGGGGCAGGGGAAGCACGAGCCAAGCCCGTTCTGAACATCAGTTCTGACAGACGGTAGGGAAGTGGCTCAGAGAAGTGATGGGACGTGTGGGAAGAACACAGAGCCCCCTTGAAACTCAATTTGAGCAGGAAAGTAAGCGATAATAATGGATTAGAGCTCATAGAGTTCAACAAGTCATTCATAAATGGAGAAGGAAAAGCATTTTCTTAGAGTAAAATGCCAGCTAATATATGTAGATGAATTGATGGTGTTAGAAAAGTCACGATTTGGTAGCCACTGCAGTAATGGTGGTTTTAGGCAAGAATCCTCTGTGTTCAGTAAATCTAGAGGGCAAAATTATGATGGGAAACTGGGTATTACAGAGGCTCCAAGTACTTCCCCACAAGGTCTTTAATAATGGCAAGGGGAAAAGAGTAAGTTTACAGTTTCTGGCAAGAGATCAGGTCCAACACCGATGGGGGGACAGACCGCTGTCCTTCCCCCTGAGAGCGGTGCACCGAGAAGAACGCAGCCTCACGGTGGTGGTTTCCTGGGCAAGCCTGTGGCCTGAACCTAAGCACCAGCGACAGCAGAACCGAATGCTGGCTTTTCACACTGTACAGGTCAAGGAAGGCTGAAGAACTGTTATCCACAGGAAGGGAGACGAAGACATGGCAGCGGCTGGAAGGTGTGACACCCGTCTGAAGCCCAGACCAGAAAACGCATAGTCATTTGTTTTGCTGTAAAGGCCACGGCAGGGCAGGAATGGGGTCTGTGATGTGGGGTGGATAGCAGCCTGGCATCAGTGTGCGGTTTCTGCCTCTCCCAAGTGCACTGTGCTTGTGTAAGAGAACGCCCTTTTTCCGGGAGCTGCGCGCTGAAGTCTCTTAGTAGTAAAGGTGCGTCATAGCTCCAACGTGCCCTTGGACGTTTCAGGAAAATGTGTGCACCCCATTCGCATGTGCACAAACACGATGGTTTAGTGAGTGTAAAATACTGACGTCTTGGCAAAGAGCGTGCAAGGAACACAGACATTTTTACGGTTTGAACTTACTTTAAAATGAACTGTGCAGTAAAACTTTAAAGAAGGATTTATGGTTTTAAAGAAGTGTTCACCTGTTTACTGTTTTTCTTAGTGCTCATGAAATAATGGCACATTGATCTCACTGTGGCATTTAGTGAGATACAGTGTGTAGTGTTTTATGGACCGTAGAGTGGAAATGCTGTGCTGTTGGGGACTAGTGATGCCTTATAGCTCTATCTTGTGTCTAGTTTTGTAACCTTAGGTACGTAACATGGCTCATCCTCAGTTTCCTCAGGTGACTGATCGTGCGTGTATCGTAGGGCTTGGGAAGTTTAAGTGAGGTAACATTTAAAATCTAGCGGGTGTCCTGGCACTTAGTAAATGTTCGATAAATTGTGCTTGCTAAAATAATGTATTCGTATAAAAGTGTCATTCTTAAAATGATGCACTTAGCTCAGAGTTAGTTGGGTATTCACTGCTCTGGTGCCTTCTGCATCAAAACAACATTCAGAAGAGGGAGTACTCCACTCAGCTAGGTGCATGGGGCTGGTCGGGGTCTGATGCTGTGTGGCTGTTCACAGGCTCCCTTGTCCTAAGGCCAGAATCCGGTGAAGCCCGCTTCCTTGTTTCAGACCACAGTGTACATAAATAAGGTTGTAGTGTCGAGCGATTCTGATACTGGATGGTTCAAGAAGGGCGATTCATGTCTTAGATTTGCTTTAAGAAAGAAGCGTAATTTTCACGCAGCTCTCCAAGTAAGGCAGCTGACTCAGGACGGTACTGCATGTATCTCTTTGCTTTGTTTCTTCCAGGAAAAGGAACCTCTTCGTGTGATACCACTGAAAGAGGTTCATAAAGTCCAGGAGTGTAAGCAGAGGTAAGCACCGGCTCTGCTCTACTTGCGTACTGTCATTTGTGTGTTACTAATGCACAGTAATGCTTTAGTTTGCTGTGGTTTACCGGTGATATTTTTTACATCCTAGTGTTATTTTTAACTTCTTATAGTTGGGATATGCTGGAACTTTTAAAACAGTTGGATTGAAGTATTAAGACTTTTTTTGTTTCGAAACTAAAAATTAGGAAACAATCCTTAAACCCGTTAATGGAAAGGAAAAGGCTATCAAATTAAACAGATCCATGTATTTGTGTTTTAGTATTTTGAGGTTGGTGCAGAATAGAGCTTTGTAAGAAAATGATAACTTTGTAGCGTTTGAACAAACTTATTTCTTCATGTTTAAAACTTTGGATTTTAAAGTAATTTTATGAACCTTTTCTGAAATATATTTGTTACTATATAAAATAAGTAAAATTTAATGTAAAAATAAGTTGAAAAGTTGATAATTTGGTTTTCTCAAATCAGTATTTTATCTCTAATATTTACTTTCTGTTGATACATACTTGGTATTGGGTAACGAAGTGAAAGAGAAACTATCAGACAGCTGCTATTGAAGTATACTTGGAAATTCTTTTTTTGTTAACAGTGACATAATGATGAGGGACAACCTCTTTGAAATTGTAACATCGTCTCGAACTTTCTATGTGCAGGTAAGATACTTCTTTGAAGATCATACGTCCTCTTAACAAGCAGTGAATAATTTTAGAGGTGAAGTTAACTTGTAGTTTATGAGAATAAGAAAAATATATGGCAGATTCACCAAAAAATGTTTTGTAAGATTAGTGGTAAGGTCATGTGTTCAGCAAGTAAGAGTTTCCTTTGCTACGAGTTAGTCAAATAGAACTAAGTAGTGTTTGGAAGAAGGGAAATTCTACCTGAACCTAGATGCTAAGTATGTACTTTCAACTTGAATTATTTTTGCAGGTATTTTGGAATTTTCATGATATCATTTATGGTAATTTTATAAAAGTTACCTCAAAATCCTTAAATACCCATAATAAAAGTAGACAGTACTTTAGAGTTTCATTAATGGTAGGTAAACATCCTGTACGTACTTTTTACTCACTACATTAATTAGGTTGGAAATTTAAAAAAAACATTTGTTTTTATTTTATAAGACTAAACACATGCTTACTGCAGAAAATTTAGAAAATAAAGAAAAATATGGCACTGGCTGGTGTGGCTCAGTGGATTGACTCACCAGCCTACAAACCAAAGGGTCACTGGTTTGATTCCCAGTCAAGGCACATGCCTGGGTTGTTGGCCAGTTCCCCGGTAGGGGGTGTGCAAAAGGCAACCACACATTGACCTTTCTCTCCCTCTCTTTCTCCCTCTCTTCCCCTCTGTCTAAAAATAAATAAATAAAAATTTTAAAAATAAAAGAAAAATATGAAGAACTTGGGTGGTTTATAAAACATAGTATACCACATTCAGGCAAACATTTTTATTGTTTTTACTGCCTTTCTTAAGGCATATCTTTCTATAGCAGGTGGAGCCAACATTAATTATAGTGTTATATCCTACTCGTTGAAGATGGGTTTTTCCCCTGCATCATTAAAAATTCTCTGGAAACCTTGTAGACTTGTGCTATACAGCTGGTCACCCATCGCACACTCACATGGTGTCCGTACATTCACTGTGATAAGTGGTGCAGTGGGGCAGGTCTTCGTGCATAAATTTGCCTGAATTTCTCACTCATGTAGGGTGGTTTTGTAGAGCAAGAGTAACTGTCAGAGCATGAGCCTTTTGAAACCTCTCTAATTTGCCAGTTGACTCCTGGATGTGCCCTCCTCTTTGCAGTGAATGAAGAAGGCATATGCTTCAACTTTGCCTGTTTTGAGTTTTTCCTTTTGAAAAGTATTTGTTAATATCATTGGTTCAAAAGGATTATATTTTAAAAGTTTTGAATTTCTAGATTCTAGGATGTAGAAGTTAAGGGCAGTATCTCTACGTCCCTCTTAGGGCCTAGTTTAATTGGATTAAAGTCATAGTAAGATTTTTAATTCACATTGGAAGCCAAGGTCCTATCAAGAAGTATACTTTGGACTAGGACTACCAATACTTACTTTAGGATTATGGTACTATGAAGAAATTATTAGTACTACTAATAATTACTACTAATTATGGTACTACTAAGAAATTATTTCTAGAAAAATATTGTCATGATCATTTTTTTTAACTCTACAGTTACGTAAATATTCGTGTGGCAAAGATAATACAGCAGCAAATATAGATAGAGGAAAAGTGATTTCTAAAATTGTTTTGAATCCATTGCCTTAGAATGACTTTGTTAACAGTTTATTATCAAAATGCATTTGTTGGGTTTGTAGATAAAAAGCTGATTTTGAAGAAACATTGACTAAATGAGTCCCGTCTTTTTCTCAGGCTGATAGCCCCGAGGAGATGCACAGTTGGATTAAAGCCGTCTCTGGTGCCATCGTCGCGCAGCGGGGACCCGGCCGATCAGCGTCTTCTGTATGTCTCCTGTTCTCTGGGGGGGTGCTCCCTGGGTTTCCCCGTCCTGTCGAGTTATTTTCCTTCCTCTCCCCCTAATCCTCCTGGTTTCTTTCTGTATTGAGATTTATTTGCATGGTAACTTTAATACCAATTGGACTTGCAAAAAAAATAATGCATTTCTAATTTAATGCTTCCTTGTAGTGTTATGTATACATAACTTTCTGTGCATTGTATTGTCTTAAATGCACAAGCAGGGCAACTAAAGAATGAGCATTTCCTTGCTTTGTTTGAGGAATTCTTAACTTGTCAGGAGGCCCAGGTTTGGTACAACTCGACCGGTTCTTTGTACAGTATGCGGTCTGTTTGTGCAAGGAACCTTCAGGTGCAGCGTTGCACTTCTGTGAACGTCCCGATTTGCTCCACTTCCTGTAATTTCAGTTGAGGCATTTTTTGTTTGTTATGTTTTATTTTTATTTTTTTTTCAGCTTAATAGTGCCTAAGACATCGAGCAGCTGGAACCTTAAATACAATTGACTGCTCCCAGTCAATAAATACTTTCCATTTCACATTTCATTCTCATTTCCTAGTGGGTTAATTTAAAAGGTTGTTTTTGTTTATAATCTTAATCATTGTGGTAGTGTGGCATAAAATTGAAACAGCTAAACAGTCTGAGAAATAGTTAGAAAAATGTTTTTAATTTTTAGTTGACCATATTTGAGTACATTATAGGAATAAGATATGGCTTTAGAATACTTTGGACACTGGTCTCTAATGTGAAAATACAAGTTCTACTAAGGAATGAAAAATGTTTTAAATGTCTTGAAATGTAACACTTTGGCCTTCGGAATGGGGTCTGGTGTGTAGCATGATGACCTTAATTATTCAGATCCCTTGGGAATGCTAGATAATCTGTCCTTCCAGGGTTTTCCTGGTAGTAATACTGCCTTCTAATAGTTTCCTACTGTTAGTGACTACAGATCAGCAAATACAAATCCATCTTTCTCATTTCCAATTAAGTCATTCTCCTTATATTCTTTTTGGAATATCAGAAAGTTCATTTCCTAGGTGTTACTTCAGTAACTGCCTGTGTTTTATGTGACTTTTCAGCAGTCAGGTATGAGACTCTCTGCAAAAACAGTGTCTGTTGGGAAGAGGACAAGCTGGAGAAGGGCGTCTGTGTTCTGTGCTTGTGGTGGGGGCCCGTCGGACTCTCTAGCTGTGACTGTCAGCATGCCTTTCTCTTTCCTCCCTCTCCCCAGGATAGGTCAACTCTAATCGTAGCTTTGCACTGTGTTCCAGATGCGGCAGGCCAGAAGGCTGTCGAACCCTTGTATACAGAGGTATACACCGAGAACTGGTGAATGCGGCACGTATGTGGGCTCTTACGCAAACGTGCCTTCTTACTAGAGGGCCTGGACTCACTCACTACTTACCACTCATCCTAGAAAGTTGAGTTAATCAAACTGCCTTCTGCAGTTACCGTAACCATGTCAACACTAACGCCAACTGTTGCACTGTAGTCATCAGGATTGAGATGCATTTTGAAAAAATAAGTAAATGATGAAAAATAGAACTTTACTAACTGAAAAAGTCATATTAAGCTGTTCACTAAAAGTTACTTTACTGAATTGCCTCAAGAGTTCCAACTTCTGTATTTTATGTATTTTGAAATTTTTTAATACTACACGCTTGAAACACGTCCTTGTTCTAACCTGTGCAAACTCACGCATGTAAGTGCATTGGATAAACCGCCGCGGTTTGCATGGCGTTTTAACTTACAGTTGAAATTTGGCCGTCTGAATTTGTCACGTTGGTAATTGGTAGCCCTTTGTTTTCAAAACCACTGGTCTTGTAAATGAACACAATATACTGGGAACTATATAGGGATGCATTCGGAATGGTCATATTTAAAATTATCCTCAGATTTGATAGAGCTAGGTGCATGTTGAAATTAATATTCACAACTGATAGTTATGATCGCTCATTAAATGTGTGCCCTGTGTTCCCTTTACAATCTTAAGTCGTATGAGCATGTATGGCATTCAAAACTAAACAAATGCAATGAAATAAGAAGCGAAGAGACTGTGCTAGTGGCTGCAGAATTCAGGGAATGTCTGCCATTTAAAATATTTGGAACAATTCCTAGTGTTGATTTAAATAAGCTTTTAAGTAAGACAATACCTAGTTGGCCCCTTTTAAGCACAGTTCGGTTGCAGTTGGACCACCGCATTCCATTTTAGGCTGGCCGAGTCTCCAGAGTGTCAGAGTTCCCAAATTCGGCTTTGGTGACAGAACTGATTTCTTAGTGGAAGTGTTTGTTGGCCATCATCACTTTAAACTCACTCCTGAAAGTGCTTTGCCTTGGGAAGGATCTTGCACATGTTTGCTGCATGGCTCGTGCTTCTGCTCCGTGTGTGTGTGCCTTGTGTTGTCTGTTTTTCAGAGAATACAGTCTCACACTGCGTTACTAACCTTGTCGCCGTGACCGGCCGTGTCTGACCACCACCCCTCTTTGCAGGAGCATTCCGCCTGTCCCGAGTCCAAACATGCCTGCCGCCCCGGTGGGGCGGCAGCCGCCACCGCACATTCCACAGCCTCTCGCAGCAACTCTTTGGCCTCAACCTTTGCCGTGGAGAAGCGAGGATTTTACGAATCTCTTGCCAAGGTCAAGCCAGGGAACTTCAAGGTCCAGACTGTCTCTCCAAGAGAACCAGCTTCCAAAGTGACTGAACAAGCTCTGTTAAAACCTCAAAGTGAAAATGGCCCTCAGGAAAAAGGTGGCGACCCGGTGGACTTGGACGACGCCAGCCTCCCAGTCAGTGACGTGTGAGGCGGCGGCAGCGAGCCCGGCTGCCTCGCCGGCCCTCCGTGTCCTCCGGGAGGCCTCCAGCCAAAGATGATGAAGGGCAACGACCGGCTTCCACGCATCTGTCACGCTGCCTCGCAGGTGCACTTGCTGTAAGCTGGTGAACCAGGGGTTGGGGGAGCGGCCAGACCAAACGTAGTCGGTCTCTTTTGGAAAAGAAAGAAAGAAAGGAAAGAAATCTAAGTGTCTTAGTATCAATTGTCTGAAGTGTTGTGGGTTCTCATTTGGGTGATAAAAATGTTTGTGTGATTTTTTTCCCCTAATTGATTTGACAATTTAAATGTTTATCAATTTAAAACATTAAAAGTGCTTATTACCTTGTCGTTTTTTAAACGCGACAATGACTCCTATTAGATGGTTGATATTTACACATTCTTACTGGTTAATATTATGGAATGAAATATTACTGGTCTGAGACCCCTGAACCCATGATATCTGTGGTGCTGTGACATTTATACTACCGTGGGACTGTTCTGACCTGAAACCATTTGATGCCCTGGATCGCAGGGTGAGCGAGTGAGAAGTTTTGTGTAGAGGATATTATTGGACTGTTGGTGAGGGTTGTGGGTGGTACTGAGGTGGGGAAAAGGGGGAAATTAAGTTTTAAACAACTGGATCTTGGACATTTGTTTGAAAAAGGTTAAATATTTAAGACTTGCAGTAGTTACTACTTTGTTCAATGAAAATTATTTGGTGTGAAATTTCTGGGAGGTCTGATTTCCTTATGAAAGTTTTGTACATAGTTCTTATTTCCATATTTGGATCAGCGAAAGACCTCAAGTTTGTATGTAAAGGCACAATTCTCTTCCTGATATGATTGTGGCCTCCACTTTTTGTCACTAACACCCTCCCTGTATTCAAGTGCCTGTGTTTGTCATTCTGTTCACGTGCTCAGATGTCCTGCATGAGCGGTTTCAACACTGGGGCAAAGTTAATTTTCAGTGGGGGAGTTTGATGTGTTAGGGAAGGTCTCACTTGGTGTTGGAGTTACCAGGATGCTGGTCTTTTACTGCCTGTGCACATGTACGGTGTAAAACACAAATTTGAGCGCCCATCTAATCACAGGGAGTCACAAATACAAGCACCTCCCAAAACACCCTTAGTTTGAGATGTCACGTAATAGACCAGTTGGAGCAATTTCTGTCGTCGTGGTGTGGTCTTACACGTTTGCTTTAAGAAAGTAAAGTGGTCTTGGGTTCCACATGCTGCTATTTTTATGAAATTGTACCATTTTCCTGTTTTATGTTGTTTTGGATTCATGCATGTCACGTTTCTCCTTTTATTTGCTAAGATGAGTTCTCGTCTGAGAGAGAGAGAGGTTTCCCGCTACAGTGGGGGGCCTGGGTTACTCTCCACACCAGGGCTCGCCGGCGTCCGTTCAAACCCCGGTGCGCGAAGGGGCACCACGCAGCTCTTTCATTCATAAGCTAGTATTTCTAAAAGTTGTATTTAGAGTTTCCTTTTTTGCAGCTACATTTGAAAATGATAGAATGAAGAGATTTTAAGTAATCATCACTTTTTATCCATTACGATGGCTCCCAAAAGTCCCTCTTTCACGCACACACCTGAGAAGCCTTGTGTGGACAGTTCACGGCGTTCGGGAGCCTCCTGCTGTTCTCTCAGGCACAGCGTCCGCACTGCGTGCCGGCGTCTGCGGACTTCGGTGTTGGTGATTTGATATGTTTCATAGCGGCAAAATACTGTCTCTATTTTGGGACTTTTTATGGAACTACCCTTGTATTCAATAGCATAGGAAAATATTCTTGTGATTTTGGGGTCTTCTGATATTTATCTTAATACTTTTGTAAGTCTATGAAAATTATTTAATTATTTTAAAACATATACTTTTCTTGTAAATATGCCACATCTGAATTGTCAGAAATTACTTTGGATACCTTCATGTTTGCTGCGTTTTTTTCCCTGTACATACAACATGTTTTCTTTCAGAATGGAAATACACGTGTGCTTCCCATTGTTTACTTTTATGCTCGTCATCTTTACGTGTCCACCTGGTTGAACACTGTAATGACTTGAGAATAAACTGCTCAAAATTAATTCTGCCTTATGTCTCATTTGCTTTGGTTGTGCTCTTGTGTGAACAGGTAAATGGAACTAGTGCACGTGTGTTTGGTTAATTGACTTGAATTTATATACTTAAGGGCAGACTATTTGGTTACCTTTGAATGACATAGCTTGACATGAAATTGCACACGAAAACAACAAATCTCTTTTATTTTGCTTAATTAAAACATGTGCTCAAAACCCCTCCCCCCCCCCCCCTTCAACATACCCCTGCAGAGCTAGTTCGAGTCACCCAGCCGCTTGCAGGGCCTGGTCGCGAATTAGACTGGATGCAGCCTGAGCTGAGCATCGCGGTGCCCGGGCGCTGCTGCCACGTGATCCAGGGCCACAGGCCGCTTCCCGGAAACCCGCGTCAGTGACAGGCGGTTCATGTCTGTTGTGTACCCAGCGCCTAGTGGCGGGCATCAGTCTGGGTAATTTTTACCAACTGGTGTGGCTTAATTTTCTTTCCCTGAAAAGTATTTTAAATGTTCTCACGTGAGAAAAGAGAACGTTCTGAAACAGCAACAACGCTTTCCTGTCCTCAGCTTTGCTTCTTCTAGTGGCCGTGCAGGAATTTTGCTTAGTGGTGCGCAGACCTGTGGTCAGAGTGCTTTGCACAGCCGGCGAGGCAGGAAACTTCTGTGCGAGAAGTGCCCTGGCGTCACAGCCTAATTCCAGGTTATTGGTGAGAATCCGCCTCGTCTTTGGATGGTTTGCTAGGTCGCACAGGGCAGGACAGAGGGTTTGTATTTTCTAGTTTGAACTTGCTGTGGTTCGCAGCTCCCAAATTATTTGTATGTTATTTTTTAATGTCTCTTGAAAATCGTATTTTGTCCGAGCCTCACGTAGCATGTGTATTGGAAATACTGCTGAGTTGGGGTTAGTGTTTCATTCTGATTGGTAAAAGCATAGTGTTCCATTCTGAGGACATTGGAAGTGAATAGTGCCCTTGCTCTGGCACAGTCACGTGGTAGTGGCGCCACCTTCTGGTGATGTCATTGCTAAATTTAAAGTAAAGCAGTTTGGAGTCTAGTCTATTTTACTTTTTTTACTGAGAAAATTAGAAAAGATACTCAAATGACTTCTTTAATTAAGCTTTGTTGGGGGGAGATGATTGTAGATTCAGTTCAGTAGTTTGAAGAGGAAATAGCTCTTGTGTACCCTGTAGTCTTATTCCTGATGGTGACACAGACCCTCCGGGAGAGTATAACTGGGACCCTAGTGCTGGCACCATCAGGGTCAGAATAGTTCTGTCATCTCAAGGATCCCTCACTGTTGTCCTTGTATAGTCCCATCCACCTCCGAGTCCATGGGTTTGGAAATAGTCGCTTGCCTAAAATCTCACCAGGTTTCAAATCCAATGTTTTTGATGCTGAAGGCCCGTATCACTGCCCCAGGAGAGGTCTTCCAAACTACTCTTTGTTTGTATTGAACTGTCTCCAGATTCGTAAATGAGTTGAATGTTCACTCAATCTATTTTCAGCATTTTCCAGAATAATATTCCAAACAATAGATTTCTTTACACATACATTTATACTTAATACCTGAAAATTAATCATAGATATTGTGATGATAACCTCCCTGAGGGATTTCTAAGCTCTGACATTTGACGTTACATGAATTAACAGGCTCCCAAAATAAGGATTGTAAGATCAAACAGCTTTAGGATGCCCAGTTCCTGCAGTGAAATAGCTGTGAGACTGGGTATCATCGGTCGGTGTGGGGTGAGAGGGAGGCATTTTCCCTCAAGCTTTCGACCTCGTGAGGTCGGGTCACATCGGGGTCTTCAGAGTACAACAGGCAACACGACACACAGGAAACCGAAGAAGTTGATAAAGATGCTGACAGGGAATTTGCAAGAGGAAATATGAAGTACAATCCGTGATAAATTCAAGCATGGAAAATGGCACATCCACAGACAGACTTCAGGGAACAACGTGGTGACTCAGAAGCACCTTGGCAGGGGCCTTTTAAGAGGTCCCAGAACACAAAAAGTTTACAAGTAAAAGTTATGACACAACAGTACGTTTGCAAAATGTTGGCTTGGAATTTGAAGGGTCCAGATCGTCACATAGAAATTTAAATCGTTCCCTTAAAGGTCCATTGCTTCTTTCTCCCAAACTGGTGCTTACACCAGCCACGCTCGTTTTCTCCAGCAGTGAGGTTTTTGGGGGGTGGGGTGGGAGGGTAGGCAGGGGGTGTATTTCCTTGATTTAGGAATTTCCCACACCAAATCCAGTGTCGGCCTGGTGTGGGTACCTTCGTAACGTGAACTGAGTCTGCCCCTGTGGGATCTTATTTACTACTATTAACAAAGAGTGGCCTTGGGTTCCAGGGACATCTGTGCCTTTGTGGCTTTTCATACACATCGTGCCATTGCCTGGGTCCGTGTTCCCATGTCATCTTTTCTGCTCTCTTGTTGCCCGTCTGTGTTTTGAAGGCAGACAACTGCTTACTGGATAGGATACGGCCATTGAGAGGAAGCGGTCAGTGTGAGGAAGCGAGGCATTGAGGACAGCGGCAAGTCTGCTGGCCTGGACGACCAGAGGGGCGCCAGCGGGGGCGGCAGAGGCTGCAGGTGGACAGGGTGTGGGGGTGGGGGGTTGGGGGGGGAAGCCTGCGGTTGCAGCACGGAATGGGGTGCTTTGAGATGATGGACACCCAGGTAGAAATGTCAGGAACTGAGAGAGATGTCTGCTGGAGAGCTGTCGACATGTTAGATGCTGTTCAAAGCCGGGAGACTGGATGGGGGTGATGAAGAAAAGGCAAGAGGGCGAAGGAATGAGCCCTGGGCGCTCCAGCCTGCAGAGCTCTGCAGAGGAGCCAGCGATGAGAAGGAGAGGCTGTGACCCCTGAGGTCGCGGGTGGCAAGAGTGTGTGGTGTCTTGGAAGCCAAGTGAAGGGGGTGCATCCAGTGGGGAGTGGGGTGACAGATGTGTTGCGCACTGCTCATCGGCCAAGTAAGAGCAGATGGAGAAATGGTTGGGGTCGGCCATGTGGAGGCTACTGGTGACCTTAATAGTTTGGGTGGACTGGTGAGGACAGGACTATCTTGAGGATTTTTGCTGCAATGGAAGCAGAGAAATGGGGTGGTTGCTGGTAGCAAAAGCAAAGGTGTGGATTTTGTTGTTTTAAGACAGAAGCAGTGCCATTTTGGAGACAGGATGGCCAAAGAGCAAAGGGTCATTGGTGCAGGAGGTGGGGAGGGGCGTTGGAACCCAGCCCTGGAGGGGAAGAGATGCGCCAGGATTGCGGCACCAGCAGACAGCTTGGCCTTGGACGAGAGCATCACCATTCCTCTGTGGTGGCCACGCAGGTCCGTGTGGAGGGAGGGAGTCAGCCTCAGCGAGTTAGGAGGCAGAGCTTTCGACTGCGAGGGGGTGGGAAAGGGGGTTCCGAGGTGCCTCGGGAAGAGCAGAGGGTGTGAAATTGTCTAGGTTGGTGGAGAAGAAACGAACTCGGGAAATACATCCTGGGCGGCCCTGGGGGCCCTGTGGGTTCCCTGGGCGTGAATTAGTGTAAAATAACATCGCTGGCGTGAATTAGTGTAAAATAATATCGCCGTATTTGTCACATGCCTGACTTTCGTCGAAAGGCCTCTGGTCATTCTCATTAAGCATGATGCTGGCTTTGTGGCTGAGAGAGGAGTGTTAACAGGTGCAAGAAGTTTTCAAGTACGCGTATTTTATCAAGTGGTTTTTTTTCTTACTGAAAAACGGTGGCTGAATTTTGTCAAATGGTTGCAGTATCTATGAGATAATCTTTTTCCCTCTGTAGGTTAGTTAATTTGGTGAACATGAATCCACTTTCTAATATTTAACTATCATTACATTTCAGGAATAAATGCCATTTGCTCAGGTTGTACCACTCTTTAAATATGCTACTTGATTCAATTGGCTGTTTCATTTTTGCATGAAGGTGATATGGCCCTATATTTTTCTTCTATGTGGGTTCTAGTTTTTGTATACATTATGGCCTTATATTGTACTAGCTTCATTGAAAGAACTTGGAAGGTGTTTTTTCCTTTTAAGCTCTTCGGGAACAACTAGAAGAGAATTGAGGTTTTTACCCTTAAAGAGCTGGGGGGCTCGGCCCATGAAACCATCTGGACATCTTTTGAGGGGGTGCATCAGTTCTGATAAGTTACATTCCTAGAAAATGATACGTTCTGAGTTTTACCTGGAACGGGGCAGAAAAGAGTAAGAACTCACTTCGTCTTTAATGCAGTATGTGAACGGAAGTGAAGGCTTCATATCTGTGCTGAGCTGTGATGTTATGATTGCATTAGGTTTCCCCCGAGGCTCCAGACCCAGACTCAGACACCAGAATAGTGGGGCGGTATTCAGCTGGAGGGAGACCATCAAACGCGTGAGAGTTTTAGAAGTTGTAGTCCGCGTGTGCAGCATGTCATTCCTCATAAAGAACACGTGGTCTCTGGAGAGCAAGTCTGGGTTCCCCCTTCGAGAAACGCTCTTTGTGAGCAATGTTGAAACTCTGTAGCTTACCGTCAAGGCCCTTGCCCTTCCAGCTTCTCACGGTGCGGCTTGTGTACCCCCCACTCCTGTGGACCTTTCTGTTCGCCGGCTTCCCCACGCCCTGTGTCCTTGCTGTCCCTTCTGCCCAAACGCCACTTGCTGGGGAATCTTTGCCGTTTAATTTCACCCACCCTCCAGTTCTCAGGTGAAAGTTTCTCCTTAGGCTGTTGGAACTGCTTTCTCTCTCTCTTTCAGAACACGGCTGATGGTTTTTAATTTATTGATTTTAGAGAGAGAGAGAAACATTGATTTGTTTTTCCACTTATTTGTATGTTCATTGGTTGATCCTTGTATGTGCCCTGACCAGGGATCAAACCCACAGCCTTGGTGTATTGGGACGACGTTCTCACCAGCCAAGCAGCCCGGCTTGCACTGAAATTGCCCTCAGCTTCCCCGCAACACAAGCCACGAAGATCCCCGAACACCTGACTTCCTCTCCCTCTCCTGCAAACATTC